CCACAAAATAGTGCAAAACAGCAGCAGAGACCTGTGCCCAACTATGTTTGGATGATAAACATTTGTATCAGGTCAGCAAAATGTGGGCATAGTAACAATATTTATTATTCTACATTTATCCATTTTAAATATACTAACTTCACTCCTTTGTAACAACTAAGGCAAAAATGTAATTAATTCAGAAAATCTTTTCAGGACCCCACCTTGATGTTTTGGGACCCCACTTTGGGTCCCAAGCCCAACTTTGGGAACCAAACTGCAGTGGTTCCCAAACTTTTCAGCTTATGACCCACAGAATAGTACAAAACAGTAGCAGAGGCCTGTGCCCCCAACCATTTTTGGATGATAAACATTTGTATCAGGTCAACAAAACATGGGCATAGTAACAATATTTTTTATACATTTATCCATTTAAAATACACTAACCTCACTCCTTTGTAACAACTAAGGCAAAAATGTAATTAATTCAGAAAATCTTTTCAGGACCCCACCTTGATGTTTTGGGACCCCACTTTGGGTCCCGACCCCAACTTTGGGAAACACTGCTCTAGATGATGTTTTAACACACAACAATAAAGTTAAGTCTGCAATGAACGAAATATCTGCTAAAGTGTCCAATGTTCATGGTGTTCACTGTGACTCACAGTGCAGCAAAATTTAATTTGAGTTTTGATTAAACATAATGTGATTCAGTACAACAAAGCAAAGATCTTTGTTAAGATTATTAACAGTTAACAAAACAAAATAAGGTGTAGTGTAAATTTAAAACTTGCCCAGAAGCAGATGTGCTGAACAGTCTGACCTCAGCAGGAAGCAGTAAAATGTATTTTCTTATTTATTTATTTTTTTTGAACAATGAGTTATATGGTAACATTTCGTAAAAGGGTTAACTGTGTATAACTGAGAAAATATAACTTCTGATTGATATTYGCATGCTGCTGTAAACCAACTTTTTTACTGTAATAACTGACTCGTGTCTAAMGTTTTTGTAAAACAGTGAAGGATTAATGGCAAAACACTTAATAAAAAAACCCAGTTCACTTTGCCTCCTGATCTTCTCACATGTTTACAGGACGTACTAAAAGTATGAAAAAGGTAGTTTGGTCAAACAGTGAGTTATTGTGAGTTTAGGTGGAGAAAACAGGATATCATAGCTCAGTCCCATTGTCTTCTGCTGAGACTGTCAGCGACTATTTTCAGCTCGTAAACTGTAAAGTTGAATTGATGGTGCATTTGTACATGATGTGTAATTACTTTTAGGGCAACCAGTCCTTTGTGTGTCTATCGGGGGAATGACGCAGTCCATTGTCTGTGTTTTGGATTTCCATCTGTTACGGAGAAAAGGTCATGACGTGACTGGATAACATCCTAACTGTGATGAGGTGACCCATGTATTTTCTTTTTTTTTAATCTCCCCCCAGAAGCTAAACAAAGTGAAAAGTCATCCAGTAGATTCTTGATTTAGCTCTGTTCCAGAGTTCAAACTTGGAAAAAAGTTCTTTTTGGCTCATTTTAAACCCATCACTGCATGTAAGTTAWAGCTACCATTATGATGAAGGGAAGCCTTCAGATTCACTGATAGTAAACAACTTATATAAAAAAGAATCAAATACCGCCCTGTGCATTCCATAAGAGAGAAGCCAGGCTCTTTTTGTTGGAGATCGGGGATCATTAAGGACAACGACTGTTCAGCAAGAAGGAGGTTTTTGTTTATGAAAATGACTTCAATGTGGCCTTTGTGAGTGGGGCTGCTGGGAGGGAGAATTATTCTGATTCTTTATCTTCTACTTTGTTGCCAGTGTGGGCACGAAGTGGTCATTTAGATATTTAACAAGGGTCTTTAGGCATTCGCTGCCCAAGCAGGCTGTGGTATGGATGTGTAGGTGGAGGACGGTGAAAGTTATAGTGTCACAACTAAGCCGTTCTGAGTGACCTTGTTGCCTGTCAGCTCAAATGTGGTGAACAAGTATTTGGATTGACCTAAGTCACACTTTAGCTGCTGTCTTAATACATCTTGTTAAAGTGTGCCAAAAATTAAACAATACTTAATAAACTGATACCAAGAGCACCATTTGTATCCTAAACAAGCTGATCCATGTTTTCTTACAATCCATCAAGATGCTCAACTCCTCAGTTTGAAGAAAAAAAGTTWAATTCTGATCAGACTAAGGAGCTAATTGTTTGCATAGCAGCAGCACATTGACAGAGTAACCTTTCCAACATGGCTAAAAGCAATTTGACATTTCCTAATTCCTAATCATCCCCTGCTGTGTTAAAAGTGCTACCARTTGGATATTTTATTTTGCCTCCAGTTTAAAATTCCCTTAAAGGAGACCAATTATAGGTCCTAGAATTTTTATGGTATGTCTGTGGGCTATCCAGACCATGTTCACTCAATTTAATGCACAAAATAATTCTCAGATAATGAAATTTCCCATTTTTTAGTTCTGTCTGCTCTGACTACCGTTCAGAACGAGCTGTTTATGTTAATGAGCTCTGTTGATAACACCCTCCAAACTCCGTCCTCCAGAGCCAGCATTTACGTTAGCATGGCTAGAAAAAGCAGAAGCTCCGTTGTACAACCATATGAGACCCTGAGTCAGACCCTTTTCTTTTTTCTCCCCCTCCTGTGTCGGAGCTCTGCGCTCACTCTGCATGCTGTTATCAGGGCAGGTAATTGGAGCAGCAGTGGTCAAAATACCTCAGAAACTCGATCAAATAGGCTAAAGCTAAAAACAATAGAGGTACATGAGAAAACGTGTTCATAACGAATTAAAATAAATAATTAAATTATTTATGTCCATGTTGGTCTCAAACGCTGGTCTCCCGCTTTCTGGTCCAACACTCTACCCATTGCCCTATTGGAAGGCTTGTTGTGAAATGAGCTGCGCATTGCACAACAACAACCGTGACAGCATTTTATACTGAGGAGGTGGAGCCTCACCTGGGGGTTTTGCTAGGTAAGGCTGAACGCAGGTTGTGGTGGGTTGTCGGACGGCTTGTGACATCACAAAATGTAGGAAGTATAAAACTTGTCGTTAATAYACATTAAAAATACATTTACTTAACAGTAAATATGCCCCTGGGTGCATTTTTTTTGGTCCTAGGACAGTTTTTTTTAAGAAGTACATACCCAAAGTTGAGTAATAAAAAGGCTTTAAAAAGTGAATTTTGCATAATAGGTCCCCTTTAAAACTAATGTGTTTTGTGAAGTTTTCAAATTTRAACAGCCGTGTCTCCAAGAAGCTAAAAATTGAAACCAGAGCATCAAATCTAAACAGTCAGATCTGTGTGGAACTTTATTTTGAAACACGTGGACTTCATTTTGTCGTGATAATGCGTCCAGCTATCTCGGCTAGCTCCAGGTCGCGACACTCCTGACCTTTAAGATGCTGTGACGGATTTCTTTGATCATGTCATGTCCACKCTGGCCCCTGGGAGGAGGGGGTCTGTTTGTGTCTTTGTATGCTTGTGTCATGTCTAACACAGATCAGCCCTGTGATAGTGGGTGGTTTGGTTGGAATGCAGACATCTGAAGACGAATTGTCCCTGCAAGCGGCTGGACTAGCCCCCTTTTTCTTTGCCACAGAACTGTCCGATATGTATAAATGTTCGTTGTGACTCATTTGAGCCACATCTAAAACATCCTCCAGGCACAACAACTGTTCAGACAGCTGTGTGACAATCATCCGCTTAGCTACAACTGAGCCGTTGGTATAAACAAAAAACTGCATTCACAGACCACAATACGCACAACCACAGCTGTTCACACCAACAGCACAAAACTGTTTACTCCCACTGCATTTTTAGGGGTTACACAAGGAGAGTTGCTGGGTTTAAGCAGAACACGTTGCAAAGCTGTGGGTTTGTGACATCCTGAACTCTGAACAGTTCATTTCTAACCTTTGTCTGATTTGTKTCTGACAGGGTGGGAAGAAGAACAGCGGCCCGTGTGGAGGAAGAGACTGCAGCGGAGGCTGTAAATGCTTCCCAGAGAAGGGCGCCAGAGTGAGTCTCAAACTTTACCTTCTGCTCTAAACAGCACAACCAACATACCACTCCTTTTTATTCCTCTTTTGTTTTCCCCCTTTACATCCATGTTAACCAGCTCTCAATTCTCAGCTTAAAGGATTAAATAAGGCCATGATTGCACATGACATTTTAAATTATTCAGTCTTGGAATCATATGAAAAGACTACATTATCCTTCAGTTTAGAAGTTTTTTTTGTTTTGTTATTATTATTATTATTATAGCACGCACATAGCGTTGACAAAGGTGGGCTGGGGTTGAAATTCAGCTTGGTGCTTGGTTTGGAGAGGCCTTTTAACCGATTGCATGAAGAATGCAAGTGGAACCGTAATAATTTTAACACAAACACTTGATTTGCAATATAAAAACAGTTTTTTCAACAATCAAAACAACTGTGTGTGTATGTATGTAATTATTTGAATATGATTAATGGAAAGCAGTGCTCCTAGAAGTTAATAAAATGAAACATTTTTGCCTATACATCAATTGCACATTCTTACAGCCAACGTGATGACATTTAAAACATTAACCTCTGTTTTTTAGTGGAAGAAACGTGTGGAGTGTTTGAAACCCATTAGGGTGAAAAATGGAAGACAAAAAAAGAATGCTGGTTTTAAATCAGACATAGACTAAACATCTTGAGATAAGCTTAGAGTGAGTAACCGAGGTTCTGCACGCTAAAGGTTGTGTTTTGATTCAGTCGCGTGCTTCATCAGATATTTAGGGTTAGTTTTCACTTCTTCAACGTTTTTTTTTTTTACTCCCTGACTGCCGGTGTTTAATTTCAACAGTAATTCGCCACAATTTGAACTTTTATGGGGTTTTTTAATCTCTTATGCAAAATATTTTACTCAAAGTATGATTTTAGGGATTCACCGATCCACATTTTTTCACTTTCGATCCGATCCGATACCTGAATTTTTTTTATATTGGCCAATACCAATACTCTTCTAATACCAAAGCTCTGTTTTATTGTTAGTATTATTATTATTAGGGTCATCGCCATAATCATCATTATTTATTTAATATTATTGGTATCATCATTGTTGATTTCATATCAGTTAGAATACAAACACAAACAGTAATATTCATAAACATGCAAAGGAATTTA